CCAGCAACTCACTCGAGTTCATGAACCTATTGCCACTTTTTGGTTGGTTGGACCAGTGTACATGGTTGTTGTTGGGAACATTTTACATTTTTGCTTATTGTGGTTTAGTGGGAAATCCCCACTTAGGTGCTAAAATTTTAATTGTTGCTCCCCTTCCAACGTCAACCAAGTGTAGTGGCAACATACAATTGATCCATACCTCCAGGGACCTCTTCAAACCAAACCTAGGGCCCTTTTCCCCTCAAAAGGGGCGTATCGCATGAGTTTGGAGCTATTGTTCCAGGGCTACCTTCCATGTCCATTTCCAGGGATCCGAATCTTTCTAGAAAACCTTCGGAATCCCAGGGAAAACGGATCCGGTTTTTGAAAAGAGCGATGGTTGAAAAGAATGGGGAATCAACCCCTTTTTGGGGTTGGACCATTTTAGTGGCAAACCACAAGTTTGGGGGTCTTTTGTTGGCCAGGCCACCCAGGATTTAAGTTGTTCATGGGTATGTGTCAAAATTAAACCACCAGGATAGGGACCGCAGGAGTAGTACATGTTTCCACTTACCCGGTTCAATTTTGGGGTTGCCCTATTTTTGATCCACATAATTTTGAAACTAAATGGGGAACCACCTAAAAAGTGATTGGTGTGACATGAATCCTCCCTAAATGATGTCCACCAAACAATTCCCTGATTAAATTTATGCCCATATTCCTTCTTGCAGCCGGGTTAAGCGTAACATCAAATTTGCGGCCGCTCAGTGAGTTGCCTCTTTAAGGTGGGAAATGGGTCCGTACAGGGCCAGCAAAAAGTGGCAGTTTGTTGGGCAACTCGTAAATTTCAGGTTGAGAAGAGGAAATCCAGGGACGCCTTTCCTATAAGCCCCTTTTTGTTGGTGCACTCGTTTGGCCCATGAGTGAGTTGGCCCGCGGGGGTGAACAATCTTCATGTTGGAAACATAGGGAACCCTGTGAAATGGCTATAGAAAGAATGGGTGGTACACAAGCACTACGGCATCAAGGTTATGTGTTCTTATGTATCCCGACTGCACGGGGGTAGTTGTGGGCTAAATTCGGATCAATTCGCCTCCAGTGCCCACCTGGCAAAGTTGATTCACCAGCGCCACGAGTGAAAACCGGGAGTTTGGAAGCTTGACATGAAAACATGGTTGTTGTTGGGAAACATGCTTCCCATTTTGCTTATTGTGGTTTAGTGGTTGAAATCCAACCACTCAACTGCTCATGTTTTTCAATTGTTGCTCCCGTAACCCGACGTCAACCAAGAAAACTTTGGGTGTTGTCTTCCACAAGCTTCCCTGAAAATGGGCCGACCGCTGGCTTTTGTCATTGCCAATCCAACAGGCGGCGGTCATTTTTCTGCCGCTCCCTTGCGGCACCTTGTGAGTCATGTCAATGGGGAAGCTTCCATGTACTTGGGAGAGCCCTCGTTCTGTAGTACTTCCGTTTGCTTAAGAATATGTTTTATGTTCCCCTGTTGGTTTTAAAGGGAATCCATCACTACGTGAAATATGTTTAATCTTTCCCTGGGGTCTTAACCAAATGGAAGAGTACTTGCTCAAGAACCTCAGTTCTTTCTGACCGGCATACGTTCTACAGCGATTGGTTGGATGTGCCCTCCGTTTTGGGACGACTTTAAGTTCAGGCGTCCTATCTCCATGTATCCCAAACCTCCCTCATCCGTACCCGAAGGGGTGATCTAGCTTAGAAAAATATATTAAAACAAAATGTAATGTTTGTTGTATTTATGTTTTATGCATTTGTTTATTTATGCAACAACAAGGAAAAAGGAACAAATAATAGTATTCAAAAAATGAGGGGGAAAAAAAGCGGTGCGTCTTCGCGTGGGGCTTGTCCCGGTCGCAGGCGGTGTCCGACCAGCAGCGGATGCTCCACAGCCGGGCCAGAAAGACGCGACACGTCACGGTGACCTTCGGGAAGGAGCGCCACGGCTCCAAACCAGGGCTGTGGGAAAGACCAACCTGCAGACCTTCCCCAGAATTAGCTCCCCTTCTTGTTCTTTTTGTATTTTATTTTTTTTGGAGGGGGGGCCTTGTTTTTTCCACTATCCAGGCAGAAAAGATGTATTTTTTTGCTGGGGTCCTGATTCCAGCCTAGATAAAGGAGGATAATCCCTTGTATCACAGAAGTGGGGAAAAACCTCTTGATGCAAAAAAGCATACAGTGCGACACGCAGGCGGTGGTCCAGTAGATTTGGGAAAAGGGCCCCCTTTAGGGATTTGAATTGGGGGGGGGGCCTTTCTCTGTTTGACAAGGTTTTCTTTTGTGTATGATCCTGCCAGATGTTCGTGGTGTCCCTTGTGATGCCCTTTTTCTCGTGTCGCTTCACCTTCCTTCGCGAGTGGTTCTGAACCCCGAACCGAGCCCGAGAAAGCGCGCGGCTCCTCGCGCGGTGCCTCCCAAGCCGCGCTCCGGAGATCTCGCGCAGGAGCGGAACTCCGAGGGCCTGCTGCTGTCCAGCACCATGAAGCCCTGCAAGTCTGAGCCGCGGCTGTAGCCATCGATCCGATGATCCGGCCCGAGGGCCTCTGGAACACCGAGGGCCTCATGGCTCCACCCACCCGCCTTCTAAAAAGGCGGAGTCTGGGAGAAAACTGGCCATTTGGCATGACGCCCCCCCGTAGGGTGATCTTGGTTGGAAATGGATGAACCAAATGGATTGTGTGTGTGTGTGTGTCAAAATAGGCACCCCCCCCCAAACAAAATGGTGGGTGGTTTTTGGAGATGTCCTTTATCAACAAGCAAACAGTTGCAAAATGCGTTGGAAGCCCCAATCGTCAGCCGGATAGCCCAAGAATCGGTGACTTCCTGCGGGGTCCCCGTTTCAACCACAACTTTGTTTCGACGGGGATCATGTTGTGTGTTGCGGGGTCCCCTATTCTAAGATACACCCGTATACTCCAATGTGGTTTGTGCGTTTTTGAACACAAAAAAAAATCTAGTGTGTCCAAAAGAAGCCTAAAAAGGGCGGGTATTTGCATGGCATAACTATTTCCAGAAGCCTTGCTTAGCACCCAGTGGGAAAATGCAATGACATGATGAAGTGCAAAACATCGGCAAGCAAAAGGGCGCGCGGAAGGGGGGACTCACATTGCGATCATAGTGTCTACGTTGGATTCTTTGACCTTGGATTCGATTTCCACAGCGAAACTGTGGCTTAGACAAAACAAATGCAGATGCAAGGAATGCTACCTCTCCACCATGTGGTTTAACCCGGATGCGGGGATAATGTCAGTCGGACTCATTGCTTTATGGAGTCCCATGAGGCATCAGGCACGCGTCAAACATCACGGGCTCAAATGGCAGGTTTCTGGGTTGCATTGTCAGATACCCCTGCTGATGATGGAGCCCGATGCGCCATCTGACCAAACAACGACTTCACGAGTGAAAGGTTTGTGCGATTCTGCATGAAGGTTTCTGGGATCCATGTTGTTTTGCTTTTTCCGGGTGATGCCCAGCTTCCTGGAGCCCGCTTGCCGATGACATCTCGCTCCGGTTTCGCTTGTGGTGTTTGACCTCAGGGTTTTGGAAAAAGCCATGGCGACTTGATCCATGTAGAGTGCCTGTGTGATCGCTGAAGCAAGGACCCAGGGTGTTGTGCATGATCAGTCAAGCTTGTAAGGAGTTAAGCACAGGAAGCAAGGAGCGCGTCCGAACCGAAGCTTTGCAGGGTCGAGTGTCCAAGCCCATGGTTCGTTGGGACGATGAAGCCACTTTCGCAGCTCAACATCACCTACAGACCGAAAGGAATCCATGCGCAAATGTTCAGATAATGGTGACCCCGGATCAATAAACCCCTCCGATAAAAGAAGGGGTGGGGGCCTGTCCAAAAGCGGTACAAATCCTCTCTAATAAGAAGCTGGGGTTGATCAGTCTAGGGTTCCCATTATTCCAAGAACCCCTCTTCTGAAATTGGGATGACATTTGCCAACGAAGCTTACCATCTCCAGCCATTGTGGTTGGCCTAAAGATTCATTCGTCATCCAGGCCGGACAGCCCAATCCAGTCCTTTCTGATGGACCAATCAGTGACTTCCCTTTGGTTTCTCTTTAAAAAACCGACCCAAGAAAGGGTAGCCCAGGAATCACTCCATGTCCACTTTTTAGACCTTCAACAGTGCCCATCGTTTCAGTGCCAGTAAATTGCAAATCCAGCGACCCCCGCAGCCTCAAAAATGAAACCCAACCATGCCTTAAGTTTCGGAGAGCCTTTGCCATGGAAATCTCCGTCCGGAACTGAGAGACGAGTCACTCGCCGACTCAGAGATGTCGACTGCCTGACGGCCTGCCACCAAGGTCTTAACGTTGATATTCGCAGCAAACATGATGCCCGGAGGTCAAATGGGGCGTGTTTGCAAAACCTAAGGATGCCACACCAAAAAAAAAGCAAAAAAACGGAGCGCTTCTTTTGACACGTTTCCACATCATGAACTTAACGTAGTGCGTGGCTGCTTGTAGCATGTTCTCAGGAGTGCATCTCGCATAGTGGGCCACAGCCGTGCTATACGCCAGCAGATACCTCGGTGTGTCTTTCTTTTAGGGTGCCCCTTGGATTTATGGTTTTCAACCGGAGAACCAAACGGGACAACCAACATTTTGGGAGGTCCCCCCAACAAGCATCACACCCACCTGTCCGTTTGCAGCTGGAACCATGTCCCTTGATCACAGGTTCTCATCGGATTACAATTCCTCGCTTTGAGGCGTGCCCACGCGTCCACGCGAGCTGGCTTCAGCTGGGGCCTCTGATTTGCACCGGGTGAAAGATTTCAACTCCAAAAACCGCCCGAAAGAGGTCAACTCCCCGGATCTCAAGTTTTCCACCAGAACCCTTCCAAGAACCTCTAAGGCTCTTTCTAACCTTTCGGAACGGAAAGCTTTGGGCTGGAAGCTGCAGGTCTGGCGGTTGTTGCTCCGCGAGCCCAGGCCAGGTCCATGCAGAGCCCGCCAAAGAGCCTTCCCCAAGCCGAAGCCTGGCAGCTCTGCGGCAGACTTCGCGAGTGGACGCTAGAAAGTAACATGGGACCACCAACGCGTCAAGGAAGAACCAGTTTGGAGGACCTCCTTTTTGGGTTCCGTGTTTTGATTTGCAGGGGAGTAGATACGGACAAAACAACAGGAATGTGCATAGATGAATGGCCAACAACTGAATTAGACATACAAATGTAAGTGTTGTAAGTCAAGCTGGTTCTTTTCCACCAAGCACGCGAGCCACATATGTACTGTTGAGGTCAGTGTCCAAACACCACTGATCATCACCCGTGTGGGGTGTGTTTTGATTCAGGCTCGCATGGAAGCCATCCGCTTTGAGAGGTTCCCCCATTCGCATTCCTTCCCCCCCCCCCACCCCCCCCCCCCCCGCCCCCTGCTCTCGCCGGTCCTCTCCCTGTCTCGACAATGCGGCTGCAAAAGAACAGTAAAAGGAACCCCCACTATTGCCCTTTTACCCCTTTTTGAGGTAGGGTTCCCCTACTAAAATAGACGACAGAAAGGAGGGCCCTTATTCTAACCTCTCTACTACAAAATAGCAAATTGCGGCTTATCTTCCAAGGCTGGCGAGAGCAACCTTTTCTTTCCGGGGAAAACCGGCCTTGAATGGGGCAGCCCTGTGCGAGCGTGTAGCATGAAACTGCCAATGTGTGAATGGCAATCCTGGCAGCCGGAAAAGAGACCGTCATGAATCATGACCTTGTTCATTCGGGGTACACGTGAACTGAAGGAGCCAGGTGTTGATTGGCTTCTTTGGCCGCGAAAGCAAGTGAAAAATGTGTCGCATGCTTTTGGAGCATGCTGGATGTGTTGGTGATACGGCGTCTCTTCTTGACATTGCACAGCTCAGGCCTCAGCTGAGATACTTGTTGGGATTGTGCTCATATTTAATTGGCTGCGTGTTCAGGCACGGCGATGCTTAGATTGAACAGCATGAGACAGGTTTAGCAGTGCAGCATCCAAAGTGGTGCCAACTTTTGAGGATGCTTTGCTGGTGTCAACTATTGCCACTAGGGTTCCTGTTTACATTTGCGCAAAACCCCTGGCCGGATGGTTAAAAATGGGATTCGATTTTGCCTTGGAGAACTTTCGGAGATTCACTTTGCCCATGCATACTTCTTTTGCCCGAAAACACTGACCCTTCCTTGGGGATGGTCTTGGGTCAGCGAACGATTGCCGATTGCGCATGATGTTCATGGCTGGTCTTTGGTATGATCTTAGCCCCTTAAACCTGTTGGACGCAAAATTGTTTTCCAGTAAACCTACAAAGGTTACCTTCCTCCAACAAACATAGCACCTGTGGGAGGGTATTTGGAAGATGAATTTTCTTTTCAAGGGACCCTCTGTCAGGTGCCATGTTAGTGGAAGGGAGGTTAGACCTTTTGCGCCGGGGGAAGAGCACCCTAGGTGACAGATGGCCGATTGCACCAATCTGTTTGTCGGCCAACTCAGGCTTCGTGACGCTTGGCTGCGCACTGGCCGCCGTGCGTGGCACCGGCTGGTTCAGAGCTGTCAACTGGTTTGCCCTAATGGGAACCCAAGATGTACGTAGAACGGTTCCATCCTACTAGGGGCTGTCACCCGCAAAAGGGATCCGGAAACCGCCACGAAAAGAGGGCAAACCTAGAAAGCAAACAAAGGTTCACCAACCCTGGGTTCCACTTCCCGCTTGTGATCATTTGATCATGCTGATGCTCGGGAATGGTATCGGTCCAGTATTGTGGTTGAGCCTTCGCCAAACGTGGCTAGTTCATATTGACACGAATCATAAACCACACGGGACAGGCTTTGGGCTGGTGTTGAAGGGCAAGCAAAAAGAAACCACACATGTATTGGGGTCCACCATTTCGAGGCAGACCCACACCTTACCATGGTGGATTTATGTTTGTTTGTTTCTCGCACATGATGGTTTACTTTGTTATGTTGCTTTGCATCAAGAAATCGAGCTGTTTGATTGTTCTGCAAGCGCCCTTGCAAGTGTCCCTGCTTGTAGTCGTAACGTGACAGCTCCCAGCTAGTGCTTGGGGAAGAGTACAGCTGTCCATGGAGATAATTAGCCTCTTTTGCCCTTTACCTGCCAGAATGACCAAATTGTTTGATAGCCCTGATCAATGGCCCACTCATTCAAATTGGGGTACTACTTCGGTGGGCGCGAACATTCCCTTGTTCTCACCAACTGCGGGAGTTAATTGCCGGCTGGGATCCTCAAACCCACCAAAGGTGAACGCGACACCTCTCTGCTTTGCCCTTCGCACCCTGAATCTCTGGATTTGGGGGGGCTATTGTCAATAAAGGGCCTTTCCACATACAACACAAGCAAAATGATGGAGGGTTTATCCCAGTGCGAATGGCCAGATCAACGCCGGCAACGTGCTGCTCGAGCGAGTGCAGGCGATGGACATTGGGCTTCGTCGGTGGGGATTGAATCTTAGGGATCACTGCAAGGTGGGTGGACATCCCCGCCAGAAAAGATGTCCACCCAAGAATCGCCCAAATCTGCTGGTGACTTGAGTCTCACTCTCCATGTTTTTACGCGAGCAGTCTTAGTCAACCAGCACGCATTTGTTTCCTCAATGGAACTGACTGACGTCGCCGGTCGGCGTAGCTCAGCGGAATGGTTGTTTTCTTGAAAATTCCTGCCCAGAAAGATGAATCCTTCATTGCAGTCTAACTGACCAGTTGCTTCTTTGGGTTTCATTGTCCCTTTCAATCAGCAAATGGTTGCACCACCCTAGTGGCCACTCTCGCCCTCTCTCTTCCAGAATCTGGTTGTCTCCATGTTGCTCGAATTTTCAGACATTCTGTGGCCAAAAAAGACCCTTTGCCAGGACCCATCTGAGCCGTTTCTGAACGCAGCCAGCCTTCTGAACGCAAGCCCCTGGAGTCCCCGGCAAGATGACCTGCCGGGTCTTGCCCCTGCGACGTGGTGCGCGTTCCACGAAGTTGCGGAAGGTCCCAACACGGGCGGCCTTTACAACCCACCTGTATTATCCGCGGGCGGCGGTTTTAGCCAGGCTGGCTGGCTGCTACGTTCCTTAAGCCTTTTGATTCCGCCACTGCTCTTTGTGAACTGCAGATTTACTGGATCAACTTTATTCAGGCACTGATGAACTGGAGTTGGCCTCAGCCCATTCTATTCTCTGTTTTTCTTCCCTCGCTCACTGCCTTCGAAAGGACGCGGACGCGAACCTTCCGTCAGACCGCGCTGTATTTCTGAGTTCTGTCTTTCACCATCGTGGCTACGGCTGGCGCCCCTCACCAAGCGAAAAACAGCCACGCGGCCATCTGTCCGAAGGCTCACCGGCACGGACCTGCCCTCACGTCCGACCCGGACTGGGCCGTGTTACCAAACAAGTTGCGCGAGTGATCGATGGACTTGTTTGAGGGCTGTGAGTCGGGCCAGGCTTGGTTCTAAAAGCGTGCACCCACTGGAGATTTGCTCTTTACACGCTATTTGACGCCAAAAGGGAAAAAAACATCTTGGGGGACTCTCAGGCATCCCTTGTCTTTTGGGGGGGGTGCTGGTCTGCAACAGGCTCAAGAGCGAATCCATGGGAGCGCTTTCGGAGACCCCGCAATTGGGACATCTATTCTGGGCAGCTCTCTGGGAGAGAGTATGCCAAAGATCCAAGGAAGCAGCCGCTATTGGCCAAAAACTTGGGCTGCACTGTTCGCATCTGACTGATTCTGCCAAGAGTTTGCGCGCACGTGTTGGCTGAGTCTGTGTTTGAAGGGTTAGCGCAATCTACAATCTCCAGTCGCCTGGACTTGACACAGCTGATGGCTGAAACTATTTAATTTGTTGAGTGGCTTAAAGTGAACCCGTCACGAATCCAATAAATTCGCTGGGGGCGTAACGCAGTTGCAACAACACCACCCAAAAAGAAAGCTGGGGGTGCAACAGTGCCACCTAAGTTGTTCGTGTCATGTTTGGGAACGTTTCATATCGTCCATAACTCAGTTGTTGATCTTTGTGTTTAACGGTGTTTTCCAGACCCTTACATTATGACATTGTTGAGGGATCCTTGCAAATGCCTTTTCGTGTTGTCGTACCCCCCTTGTAAGGAGACCAGGCGAGGATCAGAGCCCACAGTTTCCCGACAGGCTATGGGGCCGGCGAGGCCCGCGGCAATTTTACAGGTGTCTTCAAGTACGTGAATGGGGTCGCTGTTTCCAACATTGGGAAACCACCAGAATAAAGGCACCGGAAAGAGGCCAATGTGCCAGTCCCGCATTTGAAAGGAAGCACCATGGGGTTGGGTCAAAAATCGGAGCCTCGATGTAGGGGGTGCCTCATGTTGCCAATGCATAACAAGGACCTTGTCGAGCTCTGGTGTTTCGGAGTTTGTACGCCATGTCCTGTTATCCAGCGTCCTCCTAGAGACTGTCGCAGGGCCCGGATGTTCTTCTTGAGTGCCGCAACACACTCGACTCGATTCTCGGGCACTTGGTTATTGTATGCTGATGGATAAGTCAGCGATAGCCTGGCGTCTTGCCCCTGCTGAATTTCTGCTGGTTGTCCTTTGAGCTGCAAGCGCATATGAAGAAAAACCCTGAAGATACGCTGGGTCAAAGGACCTACTCCTGGCTCCTTCGTCTCGGTGTGGTGTTAAAGGGAGTTTGCCCAGTACCCTCCTCCCCCCCCCAAAAAAAAAAAGCATGTCCGCTATTTTTGGTTAGATCTTTAGACTCTAACTCTTTCGGAAATGATGTCTTCCTCACTCAGCAAAAGATTGGATCAGCCATCCAGTCAAAAGGAAGTTTCAGGGGGAGCCGCCGATTTTCAGGGTTATCAACATATTCCTTTCTAAAACCGTATAACCTCAGAGAAGTTCCACAAAAGAGATCCAGCCGGCTGACGCGGAAAGGTGTTCAGCGCGCCTGCGCTGACAGAGGACGGCGAAGCCTTGGTAGCACGGAACTCCAGGATCCCATCGATCGTCTTTTTTTCGAGGATGCTCCCCTTTTTGGGCTGGTTTGCAAGGGAAACCAAAGGAAACATAGGTGTCCTTTTGGTTGATTTGGTTGAAAAATGGAGGGCCCTGGTTTACCTGGTGGTTCAATCAACTACCAGGGTCCTCTATTTTCCAAAAAAGGACACCTACGAAAGGAAACCGTTGCCCGACGATACTCAAAGCATACCGCAGGTTTAGTTCTGACTAGAATGAGGAGGGGAACTGCGTCAATGGAATTCTGTGGGAACAGCGCAGCTAGGGGCGGGCTGAGGGATTTCAAGTGGCACATAGCAGGCGAGCGTGCCCAAGTCGCTACGCGGTTCCTGCGCAACGGTCCTGAGCTTCCAGCAATGAATCTGGCTTGAGTTCCTGAACTTTATAGCTTTCGGGAACACCATTTTAGTGGCCAACCAAAATTTAGACTTTTTGTTGGACCATCCACTTAGGTAGTGAGAAAGTGTTTGTGTTTCATCAATCTAGCTTGCTTGAAAGATCAATATGCACCACGGAAGCAAGACGACGCCGAGCAAGAGAGCGCTTCCGCCCGCAGAAGCTCGGCGTAAGCTCATAGACATTCTGCGGTTTATTCAAAATGGCCCCAAAAGCCCCAGGCGATAGCTTGGTTTCTTACTCGTTTACAAGGAAATCTGGAGAGGCAAGACCATACTTGAAAACCATGCTGGGCTTGCGAGCTGCGAGCGCCGACAGCGGATTTCAGAGTTGCCGGAGGCTGATTCACTTCTGCAAGCGTTTCTCATGAGGTTTGGCTGCATGGTCTTGGAGATACCGGACAAGGCGTGGGGTAAGACAGAAACTGGTGCCCCAAAGCGCGCAAGGACCAGTTTTTAGGTGGTTCTACCTGGTTTCACAGGCTTCCCTCGCTTTTTTGTTGTTTGGAGCCGGTTAGCGGGTAGTTTCTCATTTACCTGCTTCAAGAACCAGGGGTCCGATTCCCCAAACCACCAATTGGTGGGTACCTGACTATATCAACCTTTGTAACCATCGAGGCGCCATTTTGTCAGCTCGAGTGCTCGTTGCTCTTTGCTTCCGAAACCTTTTCGCAAATGGGTACGTGTCAAAAAACACCCCCAAAATGCTGGTCTTCCTGTTGGTGTCACTTTTAGGACTAGCCCCAAAAACTGCAGACCCAAATCAACTGGCATAGGACAATGTTTCTTGTTGGGACCCCTTTTGTTTTTTTCGCTCGCACTTTCAGAGTTTCCCCGTTCGGAGAGGCTGGTCGACCACGGCGCCCGCCTTGCAGCAGATGGGCTTGAGCCTCAGAGAGCTTGCGGATGGTAGAATGAGTGACATCATGGTTGACTTGGGAAGTCCAAATCCTAAGGGTTTGGAATTGCCCAGACGTTTGGGTCACCTAGGAAAAAGCCAGTGGTGTTTCTTGGGTTGCCCATTTCGAGCAATCAGCAATCCTAAGCCTGCCCCACGCCAGGCACTGTGAGGGGAAGAGCAAATCCACAGGATTGACCATTCAACTCCTTGGCCCCTCATGCTGCTTGTACTAAGGCCTATATTAGGGATGACTTTGTTTGAGGCTACACCTTTGTGGGTGGCTGCAAATGGAAGCCACAAGGACAATCACTGAGCTTTTCTTGGAGGGGGGGGTTCCGGAAAAAGAAAACAAAGAAGAAAAACAGTAAACACACACACACACACCCATATAAACCTTGACAACCGTGATAGAACTAGGAGAGTCCTTGAGTGAAACGGCGTGCCGCTGCGCTTCCCCGGCTTCAGGTTTGCCAATGCTGCACTTTCTGTTCCCTACTGCGCCTACCAGAGGCATGGTGAGCTTGTTGGAAAGTGAGAGGGACCAGAATGCTTGTCGGGCGAATTTCAAGTTTGCAGGTTGCGTGCAGGGCATGAATAACATTTCAATTGTTGCTGCAAGGTTGAGCAAGAGCTAGGATGGTTTCCACTACCCCCAAACCACTACCCCCAAACTTTAATGCAATGTACAGCCACTATATAAAGTGGGAATCTACCCCAATTTACTCAGGGCGTAGTGCTTCGGGGTAGTCTCACTCCCCGAGTTCATGAACTTTAAACTTTTTGGGAAGACTATTTTAGTGGTAAATATAAAAGTCTGGACCTTTGGGGCCATCCACTCAGCCAGTGAGTAGTGGAAATCAGCGAATCGAGCGCTGAAGTTTCTTGCCGCCGGCGAATATTCGTGCGCTTCTTGCGCCAGGCGTGGGCAGCAAGGGAATGAAGCCATCCTGGTCATGGCCTCACAAGCAGCTTGCACCTTGCCTAGGTCCCCCAGCTAGGTCCCCCAGCTAGGTGCCCGACCTCCCCCCGCTGTTTTGGTTAGGTGGTGCTCCTATTTGGATCCTCTGTGGTTCTGGCAAACGGTTTGGATGCAGTTTTTGTGGATCGACCCCTGGAGGACAACAAAAGAGTGCTGAACGAGTATTGCCAATCCTGTTGCAGCTGTGAAGCTACCACGATTGGTCAAATTTCTGCATTCATTGCCGGGGCGCAGGCTTGAATCTGTGATTGTGAAGTACGTGTTCTCTAAATATGAGAGTGTTTGGGCGTGTTTGCGACGATCCCAAATGTGATGTCGCTTCAAAACAGCCGCAAAAAGGGAAACAGACACAGATGTTGGGTGGTTTTCGGTAGCCGGGTAGGGGACGCAATTACGCGGTCTCAGGTACGATGTTCCCACACTGGATCCTGACCAGATTGCGAGGCGTGATCCGATGCGCAAGATAGCTGAAAAAGGGTCAAATTCGCTGACAATCCTTTTGTGCAAATGTGGATGTGTCTCAGGAGTAGGGACACTTGAAATGGCTTGCATCCAATTGAGCTCCCTGCAAAACCATCCAAAAGGAGATCCTCCATTTTGAGAAACCTCCGTGAGTGACCCTGGGAAATGAGGAGCCACAATCCAAGCAACTGCATAGCTTGGGTCAAGCCCCGAATATTCCGAAAGTCCTGATGTAATCCACTTGCGCGTTTGCAAAAACAAGGTCATGGCATGAAAGGCTGCAGTGGGCACTGTTTGTTTGGAGCAACTTGTGCCTTGAGACAGTGCGAGGCAACCTCCACCGGAGGGTTTGCTGGACGGGGTGGACTACGAAACTTGGCGCTGACGGTGTTTTTTTCCTGAGCCGTTCCTTCTCGATGAAGCCAAGGATGGAACCTCTTTCTACCGTTTTGGGGCTGATATGGCTGATGTCCTTTTTCAGGCCAAAGCCAGCCAAACAAAAAGGGCAACCCGGTAGGAAAAGGGAACCCTTTTGCTGTTATGGAGCTTTGGCAGTGGTTCCTTTGGTTTCCCCTCAGAAGCCAGGCCAGTTTTCGACCCATGAGCACTGCACTTCACTTCGATTGGCGTTGTGTAGCGGTTGTGTCGCAGATTGGATGCGTGCAGATTTTAATTGACACCCATATTCTTCGCCAGGTTTAATGTAGACATCGGGAGCCACGGCACCTTCTGCATTAGCATGTCAGATCCCGCTTCATGTTCGAAAGGGGGCAACGAGTCTACACTGCGAACGCAGAGCTGCAAGCAACATTATCTTAATCCCTCCTATGGCAAGACATCCTGTCCGTGCCCACAAATCGTCCTTTGTTTATTGCCACAGAGTGAGGCTAGGATCCGTTGTTTGTTTGGCCTGTCGTTTGCAAGCCGTTGTCGTCGTGGAATTTTAAACCATGGCACCTTTTCAGGGCCAAACACAATTGGGGCTGTCTCATCAGTTGAAACCATTCCCGGAAGCAAAACAACGTGTGTGGTTCCCTCCCCACCCCCCCTCCCCGCCACCAAAAAATAGGGGGAAAAAGCATGACAGAAACATATGGCTGTGGGTCAAAACCAATGGTACCATTTTGGGGTAGGTGAATTCACCACCCTATTTTAGTGGGGATTGGGATGTTCACTATGGGTACCATTTGGATTTTTACCCATGGCCATATAGCCTCTGAACAGCACGAAAAGAGCACCAAGCCGCAAGCGCTACGCCATCTATGTCTGAGGTGTTGGACCTCATCGAGCCCCACGCGCGCAGCTCAGCCCTTGTGGTTTAAAGGGAAACCGAAAGAAACGCCGAAGCCATTTTGGGGTTTCCCCGGAAACAAGCACATCCATGTATGTTTTCTCGTTCGTTGGGCTCACCCTGTTTTGAGAAACCTCGACTACTACGGCTATGTATCAAAATAAAGGGGGAACCCCAGAATGCTGAGCTTCCCTTCAAAACCACCCCAAGCTCAGGGGTCTCTCAATCTCCCTTTGGAGCTCCAAAGCAACAAGTTGTTTGTTGAGTTGCAACGTTTGAATGGGAGATCCCGTGACCCCTAAACAAGGGAACCGTCCAAAAGAAGACACAAGGAAATGATGGCTGGACCCCGGAGGGCTGGACAGCAAATCCAACCCCAAAAACCAGACATGATCCATTGATCCAATCAAGGGACATGCGCACAGCAACCAGGGGATTGATCAATCCAGGCGTCCCGTTGCGCCATGGTCGGCCGTTGCCGTGGTCCGAAGTTTAGCTTATCAGATGTGCCCCAGAATCCTTAGAGCAAGACTGAGCGTGCGAGAGCAAATATGAGACACCTGATCTCGGAATCGACTCTGTGACTTTCGAGAAACAGCTGTTCTTTAAAAAAACACGGAAGAAAAATGGGTATTGGTATTGGTGTCTTTCAAACAAAATCAAACCAGCAAAAATTGGGTATTGGTTCGTAGGGTTAGCAATCACGCAAGCCACGCACCACACGCAGTTGGCTTGCACTGAATTGCGCATGTCGAAGCGCGAAGCTGCGCTTCTGGCCCTGCCGGCAACGATTTCACGAGATTGAGGTAGTAGGCCATGGACCAAGGCCTTGGCTTAAGGCACAGCTTATCGATACCACCTGGTGATTATGTGTTTGTTTCTTTGGGATTATGTTGGGTAATTTCCCTATGTAATCCCAGGGTGTTCAAATCCTCGGATTATTTGGCTGGTTTGGATGTTATGGCGTCCGGATGTGCACAAGTCGCACGCGTATCGTCCTTGGCAAGTTGCATCGGGGCAGAACGCTGCCAGCGGGCTTTGCCCCATGCGCCAGGCGGGCCTGCAGGGGACGGATGACCAACCCTTTTGGGCGCAGAAGTTGTTGCGGCAGGCGGGGTTGAGCCAGTTGTTGGATGGTCAGAACACCGGCGCATTTTTCGGAAGTCGCGTAAAAGGGGTGAGCCACATCTCGTTCGACTGGCGAAGTAATCTGAGGAGGGGAGGTGTCAAATGGGTGTGGCTCAAAATATAGAGCTATAGAGCTAGGAGTACGCCGGGTTTATCCTTTGGTTCCACTTACCAAGGTATATCAAGGTGTGATTTGGGTACATGTTTTTGAGCCACAGCCAAATGTGAAAATGGTTTGGTTCAACGTCGGGTCGTGGATTTGAGGGGCGGAGGTTTGGTGTGGTCTTGAAAGCTGGTCGTCGGTTGGTTGGGATCGTGATATGGTTGGCAAAAGGGGTCCGTCAGAAGCAATGTGCCATGTTGTGAGGCAGGTTCGACAAAGCGCCTGAAAAGCGACCAATGTTGCGACTTGATGTGCTTTGGTTTGGCAGGTTTGCTCCAAAATGCCTAAACTCCCCAGTGATGGCTTAGCAGCGTTTTGTTTGTGCCATGCTTTAGTGGATTCACTCCCCGGCACCTTCCACTGTGCCACAAACATAACTTCAGCGGGGGAAGCCTTGGCTGTTTTACGCGGGATTGTCTTTTTTCATTCCTTCAATACAAGGACCCAAAAGAATTGAAAACCGCGACGCACACCGACATGGGTCCCAAAAGAGAGTGGGTGGTTCCTAGAGTGGGGTCCATCTGCCATGAAAGTTGTTTCTGCCGCTCAACCAAAAGAAGCCCTCGCGATAAGATGGCTGGCCTGAAAATTATTTGGAGTTGTCCAACCAAAAAAAGCTGCAGACCTGATGCTACATTGACAGTGTGCAATGTTAGGTTACGAAAAGAGTTCCCGTCTCTGATGATCCTCTGTATGATTGGCCCCCTTTTGGGTTAGCATTTCAAGGGAAGCCAAAAGGAAACCAACCCTATTGGGCCCCATAGGGCTTCCAACACGACCACAGCCCAAACGTGACCGAGCATTGGGTCATCACGTGGGTAGTGGGTATGAGTTCTAATTGGCGGGGTTGTGTCCCACCAGCAGGTGGACTATTTTGAGGCGGGGAGTTCTGTCCCACCACTCTTCAGCAGGGTTCCCTGTTAGAATTCATTGCCACATGGATCTGTTCTTGGGCTTCCGGTCATTAAAATGGGTGGCTGCGAGCTTGGGGTAGCGCCTTCGAGTCAGCCGCAAGCGGCAACAGGACACTGGGGACAAAGAGGAGGCACGGGTGGAAGCGATCCAAGGGTTGACCGCGCTGATTCGTGGCTTTTGTGTTGCTTTTTTTCTGCGTGGGTGGGTGGGGGGGGGGAGGGGATTGACCATTGCAACAACTTGCTGGTGCAATAGGCTTTGAATGACCTTCCGGGAGTTGGGAATGAACCGTTTGGGGATTTTGTAGGAAACCACGTTTTTCTCGGGGTCATTCCATTTATCTCCCCTGCCTATCGCAGCAAGAAAAGGGACAGGTACTTCGGAATCCGCATCGTTGATTCATCAGCAGTGACGAACCGTTGCTGAGGGGATCCAAATCGAGCGGGTTAGAAATCACCACAGGACAACAAAAGCGTGGCATCCGAAAGAAAGCCATTCATTGAATCAGTCGCTTGAAAATGCCTTAGTAGGAAGTGGCTCAAAAGTGAAAGTGCAGGCTTTGGTCTTTGGCTCCATTTTACTAGGTATCCCATTTTGTTGTTGTTGTTTTTTTGGAGCCGCAGTCTTTCCAGCAAAGCTTGACTTTGGCATGGACGCCAAACACTTGCAGGAGGTGAATGAAGCCGACAGGCCCGGGAAGCTGCGTGAATTTTCCTGGCAAGAAGTTGCCAGCGCAAGCGGAGATTCTTCAGTTTGAGAGTGATCCAACAAGAGGATGTGTGTCTGTGTTGGTTTGCTGCTGCTGGCAGAAACCAATCACAAATTCGATGCTGGTGCAGAGAGCTCGTCAAGTGTCCAGTGTGAGGCGCTTTTGGGCATGTCAGCTTTACATAGGTAGCTATTATAATAATTCATTTCGGAATGCCATCAGATCACTAGGAGCAGCGCATAGGTTTCTCGGAAATGCTGTCCAACTGAAAGTGCAAGCCATGGCTTTAGACCTGTCAGCCGCCAATTGCTTTTGACCATCGCTGGAATCACCGTCCAAGAAAACTGCGAAAATCCACCAATGTGTCGACCATGCCACGCATTGTTGTGGGGGGGGGTCTTCCAAGCCGATGGGCGACATGGAGCGTCCTACGAATCATGCATCCCTTCCTAGGCCCCCCAGCAGTGCCCTTGTACCCTTCTTTGGGGGAGGGTTCCCCTACTAAAATCGACCAAGAAAAGGTAGCCTGATTCTATCCTCTCTACTGGACCTAGCTTCTGGTGCCAAGTATCCCGTGAAAATGTCAGCTCTGGGAACTCGGGGATGTGGCTGTTCATCCAGCAAGCCCGGTGAAGACACTCAAATGAGCTCAAGGACTGTGCCCCCTTTTCACAACCCGCATGGAGATTGCTCAAGAGAAACCAAAAAAAAAACAACTGATTTAGGAGACCACTGTTTTGAGAAGCAACCACATCCAGGCTGTCCTTCTCTGTGAAGTGTGCAGCAGACCTGCTACATCTCGTGCGAGGAGGTGGGATTTGGCAGGTCTCAATCGATTTCGGGGAGACGCGGCAAGCCAGCGAGGGCTTGGGTCTGAGAGTTGCAGAGTCCCTGAGTTTCCATAGAGCTTCAAGAGTAATGTTGACCCCATATAAATCAACCCAGCTTCTCAATAGGGGGTGGGGGCCGCCAAATGTGATGATTCCCCACTACACCAAGGGGCACCCCCCTATTTAACTAGGGTTGATTCATAATTGGGTCCACATTACCTCTCACTTCCTGAGTTCATGGACTTTAGTCACCTTTTGGGCTTGGACCATTTTAGTGGCATACAAGAAGTTTGGGTACTTGTTTGGCGCCATCCACGGAAGTGGGACCCTGGATAGGTTGAGGTTGACAACAATTAATCCGGCAGTTGGGCCGGGATCAGTCCATTGTCTTGGTTTACCTCCAGTGGCGATGGTTTGTGTTTGTGACCAAAGAACCTGTCAAGTTTCATCGGAGCCCGCCACTTGTAAGTGTGTGGGCAAAAAATCACGAGGTCTGGGGTGAAACCCATGCCCTTTGTCCAGTTGGGAATGATAAATTGCCCAGAAGCTTAAATTCAATGAGTTGCAAAGTGTTCTTCACCAATGAAAATGTCACACGCACTTCTTTGGGTGGACAAAATGTGGGACTCTGTTGAGACCATGCTCAAAGGCGGCAAATGTTGGGGTTGGCGTTCATTTTGATCCAGGAGTTGGATCTTGCATGTTGTTTGTATGAACTAAGATTCGCCCACAGACATGGCCCACCGGAAAGACAACTGCTTTCCCACGCTTGTTTGACCAATAAGTACTGACGAGGTTTAACCACTGGACTGGGGGCACACTCTTTAGCCCCGAATGAGCAGTTCAACTTGTTTCGGTGTTTGAGAGACCGCCCATCCTGAATTTGATGCATTCCATCAACCCTGAGCAATTTTGCCTGAGCGATGTTGCCTCTTGAGCATGGTCTTTCAATTTATAGTCACCAAAGGCAATCAACACCTGACCCACGGATTTGTCATTAGCATTAAAATATTAAATTCAGACTGTGGACAGAACACGAGTTGACAAACTTCTAGCTGTAGCCTCATTGCCTGGGGCCCTTCTCTTTAGGAAATCGCCTAAACCCCATGGAACATGCAGGAGAAAGACAGTTGAAGAGAAGGGCAAAATCACCCCCAGTAGTTCCAATGTGCCTTTTTGAAGACAAATGGCTGTGGGTCAAAACCAATGGTACCATTTTGGGGAAGGCGCAGCACCCATTTTAGTCCATTTTAGTGGGG